CCCCTCCCGCCACGGCAGGGGAAAGGGGACGCACCGCCCAGGGGGCCGGGCTCTCAGGTCGCCGCCACCAGAACCCGGAGGGCGGGGCGCTGCCCGGTGGCGAGGCCCGGGCAGGGGGCGCTGAGCCTGAAGAAGGGAACCTGACACGAGCTCTGAGAATCACTTTATTGCACGTGTTTGGGGGAGTGGGTGGTCCTGGTAAGGAACCAAGGAAAGAACACACTGCTGACCGCATCCAGGTGAGCCCCTCAGGGGCTGGTATCCAGGGGCACAATCCCTGTGCTTTAAGGAGAACTGGGTGATGATGGAGGCTGCTTCTGCCTCTGCCGGCGCTCCTGCTGGAGCCTGGCTCTGTTGGCCCTGGAGGAGAGAGAACCTGGGTGTCTGGGTCAGGATCTTGGAGAATGGTACCAGGAGCAGGGGGCAGGGGGCAGGATGGAGCAGACAGACCTGGCCCGTGCCCGTGTGTCGTTGTAGATGGCTGTGATGATCCGATCCTTTTCATCCATGAAGCTGCGGTGTACCTGCTCCAACTTTCTGCAAGGGGGTTACAGTTGACCCTAGGACGCCAATACTTGCTGTCACCCCAGCCTTGCCCCCTTCCACCCCACTCGGGGATTGCACAGCTGTATACCCGTGCGGACCTCAGCCTAACCCTCTCTATGATAGGTGGGGGGCCGGGGGCAGAGTGGATTGTCCAGAGTCCAGTGACGTCCCAGGTCCCTGGTACTCCCGCTGAAGGTAGTAACAATGTTTCTGAGTGCTCTTCTCGCTCTAGCGCTGTTCCTGACCTGGGCAGGCTGCTAGCAGTGGGCACTGGCCCATAGGTATCTTTGCTGCCGAAAATGTGTGTCATGACATGCGTGAAAGTGGTTAGGGAGCCAACCAACTGCCAAAGGAATGGGGACAATTGCTGGTGAGGCCCAGGTTCAATGCATGTTTTTTGTGCATGACTTTGTCTGGCTCCAGCCCTCCCTGACAGCCAGCACCAAAGAATTACACTCACATTACAGGACATTGAAAATGATAACACTAGCCCTCTACTAAGTAAGGAAACGTTCCAGAGACAGATTTCATGCAACTTCTAACTTGAGGGACACAGTCTGCAGGCCACTGAGTGCTGTGGATGGCTGGCTGACCCTGACCACACTGGGATTCACCCACCTCCTGCCTCTGCCCATCACCCTGGGGAAGGCAGGGATGCACCTGAAGGCCACGTAGTGCAGGCCCATGCCTGCCAGCATGAGCAGAAGGCAGTACCCCAGCACACGCTGGTTGTGCTTGTGCTGCTGCTGCCTTGCCCAGGCCCCCTGTGGCCTCACATCATGAAACTGGGCCCAGTAATGTGCATTGGGATGTGTCCAGGAGCTGCTGTGAGACAGAGAAGGGATAGTTTAGAGATGGTGTTCCCCAGAAGATCTGGAGATGGGGCATGCTAGGGACAGGACTGCTGTACCTGTGTGTCTGTTTGGCAGAGTTGGGGTGGGCTGTGGTTCCTGGAGGCCTTGGGGGACTGGCTGAGCGGAGCTGGTGGTCATAGCTACGGCGGCTCTGCTCACGGCTGAGCACGTGGTATGCCTCATTCAGCTCCACAAAGCGGCTGTGCAGGGCTGGGTTCCCAGGGTCCCGGTCAGGATGCAGCTGGGGCGGGACAGGACTCTCCTTATCTCCCTTGCCATGTCCCTTCCCAAGACCCTTTCAGATGATGTCCACCCACAGGGGCTCACATCACTCCCAGAGACCCCATCTGAGCAGTGACCCTCACTCTCAGGCCTGTCCTCCTCTCTAAAAGGCCAGGGGATCAGGAAGCAGACTCCTGCCCCCCCCCCCCCTCCCTTCAAGCCCTCCCCACCTGCCAGCCCTCCCATTCTCACCACCGTATGCCCAGGTCTAGGTTTCTCAAGAGCAGTGAGGCAGGTGAAGAAAACCAAGCCCAGCCCATCAGATAGGCTCCTGCCTCCCACCTTTCCTCTGACCTGGCCAGACCTCTGCCCCTTGAGCACCTCCTACTCCTTGCAGGCTGGAGGACTGGGGTACCAGCCAGAGATACAAGTCTCTTCCTGAGAATGTGGAGGGCACCCCCCCATCTGGTTCCTATTTCCTCTTCCCACCTCCCCACCATAGGGGCACGGGTACCTCTTTGGACTTGGTGAAGAAAGCTCGCTTAACTTCTTCAGGACTGGCACCAGGATGTACCCCCAACAGTTCATAATAATTACTGGGGCCAGACCTGTGAAAAGAGGCCCAAGCCTGCAAAGGTGGAGAGAGCCCAGAGGATGCTACTGCCCTGTCCCTCCCAGCTTCCTTAGGCTGCACACTTCAGCTCCGTGACCAAGAGCTGAGGGTGCTGAGGCAGGTCCCAAGACAAATCTATTCTTCAGATCACCCCTCCATTTGGAGTGTTTTCAGCACAGTGCAGACCAGGACTTCTCAAAGTGTAGTGCTCAGGTCCCTTGTATCAGAAAGATCTGAAAAGCTTGTTTAATAAACAGATTCCTTGGGGCTGGCAGATAGAGTGGTGGTTAAGGGTGCTGGACTCTCACATGGCCGACTGTGGTTCGAGTCTCAGATCTTTCTGGTGGCTTTCTCTCTCTCTTTTTCTCTCTCACTCTGTCCCTCTCTGGTTAAATTAAAATAAATAAAGAAAGTGAAATAAAATAATTCTTAAAAAAAGGAGAATAAGGGAAAGAAAAAAAAAAAAGATTCCTGAGCCCCATCTCATTCCTTCAGGTCAGAATCTCCAGAGAAAGGCCCACAAATCTGCTTTTTTTTTTTGTACCCAACACTGTGTGTACCCCTCAGTGTGATATGCACAAGGATGCTCTGCAACCATTAGAATTGTGGGATGAGCACTGAGTTTGCCCTGAGCTCAAATTCTTGGTCTGCCACTTAACTGATTGTGACCTTAGAGGTGAGCTCTTAATCTCTGATTTTCAGTGTCCTCAGCAGTGAAGGTGAGCATTACCTGAGACAAGCCTGCAAGGCACCTGCCACGGAGTAGCGAGATCACAACTACCTGGCACATAAGACAGGGCTTAGATAGAGCTGGGCATGCCCTCAACGGAATCCCTACACACACACAAACACACACACACACACACACACACACACACACAGCAGCCGGGCCCAGGCTCCCAATGCCCAACTCACCGCTGCCCGGCCGGCTCCGAGGAGCCGTGTAGGGGGGCTGCGGAGCCACAGCCGGCACAGGTGCAGGGACAACAGGGGTGGCATGGCGGAGGGCGGGCAGCTGGGGAAAGGAAGCAACCAAAAAGAGTGCAGTGGGGGCAGACTGCAAGCTCCCCAGGTGGCAGAGGGAAGGGCTTGACCCCGTTTTCTCACGAAGAAAGACAAGCAGGCCCTGGGAGAGGAGAACCTCCTTGCTCAGAACCAGGACCCGGTGTCCTGGACCTGCCTCCGCCTCTGAGCTGGACGTCAGGGACCCTCCCCTGCACTGGTCTACTCTCCGAACAGACTAGGACACAGAGACCCTTCCCCACCCAGGGACCTTGGCGGTCCCTGGAAGGGCCACAACCAAGCTCCGCCCCCGTCGTACTCACTGACTCCGCGACTGCCATTTCCTGCGCCCACTCAGCCCCGCCCCACGCTCTGATTGGCTTTTACACCAGGGCCACGCCTACCAAGCCCGTGCGGAGGAGCTGTGACAGTCCCGCCCCCGTACGCCTATTGGTTACGCACGGCCCCTCCCACCGAAGCTGAGGCCAGCGGACTGGCTGAACTGCGCGGGCGCCCACCGCAAAGCTGGCAGGACAGAGGCTGACCCTGTGAGGCTTCTGGCCCAGCCGTGGTCCCTCTATTCCGTCACTGTTGTTCCGCTCTGCACAGAGGGACGTTCCACAGGGTTGTTTCCATCATCCCATAGTCATCCCAGAACCCGCAATAGAGGTACAACCCTCGCCCCAGCTTGCGGAGGGGAAAACTGAGGCCGATCTGTTGTTTTGTTTTGTTTCCAAATCACTTGTCCTGTCTCATCACCCAGGACGCTCCCAGAGGTCCCTTTCTGTCTTAGGAAAACAGCCAATGCCAACGGAATCCAAGAATAAAGTCCTTTATTGTTTTCAGAGCTGAGGTGATAGGTTGGGGACCTTAAGGTGACTCAGGTGGACTTCCCCAGACACGGTTGTAAAGGAGGATGGCACCTTTGGCGGAGGGGCAGAGCTCAGCCCACATCTCGGTCTCCTGCAGTATGGGCAGGTTCTGTGGGGAGACAGTGAGGCCCAGATATACAGCCCTTACTACCTCTGCCAGGATCGTGCACAGAATTCCTGAGTCTCAGAGCCCTCTGACTGCTCTATCCTGGGAAGACCTGATAAGGATACTGAGGAGGGGGACCAGCAGAAGGCGTAATGGTTATGTCGTTGGACTCCCACGTGGTCAACCATGGTTTGAGTCCCAGACCCAGCAGCTTTAAACTCATGGAGGGCACATGTGCGTGTGTGCCCAAAATCCCGAGAGGAAAATAGAGAAGGGATTGTGGTGTGGTCCTCCCCCCTGGGGGTGACTTCTTGCTTTCTGTCTCTCCAGAGAGCACATACGCCCTATAACAAAAACAAACAAACAAACAAACAAAAAACCCACCTCTCTCTCTTAAAAAATAAAAGAGTACTGAAGAGGTCCCTGACCTCTCCCTTGGGTTGAGGCCAAGCCTTGTGATCCAGAAACGTGTGGGAGTTCCCCATCCAACCAAGCCAACATCCCCTCCCACACACAAGACGTGTACCAGGCCGCTTTGTGGGTCCCAACCCTGGCATTGAACAAAGTAGCAGTTTGTCACCCCACACCTGTGTCTCCACAAAGATAATTCCTGTAGACTCGTGGGCCTCAGGGCCCCCGTGCAGGTAGTGCTCCTTCACCTGCTCAGAAGTCAAGCTGCACCTAGACAAGGACATGAGGGTGGCTTGTTCCTACAGAGTCCCCATGAAGTCACAGCTGCTTCAGCCCCTCCCATCACCACCCACCTACCCCAGAACCAGCATCCTATGTCCCCAAGTTCACTCACTGAACGTAGAACTCGGCACTGGCACGGCCGGCACTGGTCTCATTGCATGCAATGCCCAACAGCAGCGGCTGGCTCAGGGTGGACAGTGGCAGGTTCACCTGGGGGGAGGGCGGGGAGGTCCTACCTATCAGGGCCCACTGCCCTCATTCCTGCCCATCAATAGAACACAGCCTGTTACCCTTGTACATTTTACAGTTTGGAGCTCAAGTGCCCAGCATCACAGATCGTCAGGTTTGGGGCATGTTTGTTTTACATATAGCAAAATTAAGACAGAAAGTTTTGAACAAGTTCCCCAAGGTCTCCCAGGAAAGTCAATTTAATAACCAGAATTCCCATTTACTCCTCTTTCAACAAATCTGGGGAATAGGCAACACTTGTACACCGTGTCCACTGTAAAGAGGAAAACCCTGAAGCTCAGGGACTTGAGGCTAGAATGCCTCAGTTCCATGTACGCCTCGCTGCAAAGCCAAGTTCTTCCTTCCAGACAGTCAGCTGCCTGCAGGCCCTCCTGCCAGCCCAGGCCTATGGAATTCTGGCAAGTTCTACCCCTCTCTTCATGCCCACCACCCTGTATAACCCACCTCTCACTCACCTCATCACAGATTTCCTGCAGGATACTGGAGAAGAGCTCACGTACCACCAGCTCCCCAGGGAGGTCCTTGTGCTGGGGTCTGCCACCAGGGCACAGGGTCTGTAAGAGATCTGGCTCAGCTCCTGCTCTCCACCTCTTTCCTGCCCTGTCCGTCCCCAGATTTGCTGGCCCTGAGGGCCCGGTGTGGGCACAGGGTAAGAATCCTGGTGCCCCACTAACCCAGACCTTCCTTTTCCAGATGGACAACAAGAGGTCTAGCTATGATGGGGTCACCACGGGGTTGGAGATGAGGTAGGGCAGCTGCCTCTTCTGCCCATTCTCCCCGTTTCTACAGGTCTGGGCAGGGGTCAGGAGGGAAGCTGCACAGCTGCCCTGAGCAGACTTTCAGAGAAACACCAGGCCAATTTTCACTTTAAATTATGACAAAACCAAAGCTAGGAGGGTTTGGAAATCCAGCTCCTGGGCCAGCCTGGATCCCACGTGGCTAACTGCTATTTAAGCTCCAGACCCTACAGTTGAGAAACACACTGGGCACGAGTGTGTGCTTGCCCGGGGAGCTAGAGAAAGGATTGCAGTGTGAACGTACTCCACGGTGGAAGGGTAGAGAGTGATTTCTCACTTCCCCTCTCTCTGTGTCTCTAGCGAGTGCATGTACACTCTGGCAAATTGAAAAAAAAAAAAAAGCTTAAGGCCAGGCATGGAGGTTAAGGTGCTAGATTCCCACATGGCTAACTCCAATTCTCAGTTCCCAACACAATGGCTAAAAAAAAAATCATGCTGGGGGAACCAGCAGTTAGCGTAATGGCTATGTTGCTGGATTCCCACATAGTCGACTGCGGTTCGCATCCTGGACCCGGTGGCTTAGAACTCACGCCGGGTGCATGTGCGTGCGTGCCCGAGATCCCAAGAGGAGAATGGAGGAGAAGGGCTTGTGGTGTGACTATCCCCCCAGGGGGGTGATTTCTCGCTTTCTGTCTCTATGTCTCTGTCTGTCTGTCCAGTGAGCGCAGGTGCCCTATAGCGAAAACCTCTCAAAAAAAAAAAAAAAAAAAAGAAAAACTGCTGGGATGGGACCCGGGGATGTGACCAGCAGTTGGCATAATGGCTGTGGCTGGACTCCCATGTAGTGGACTGCAATTCGAGTCCCGGACCCGGTGGCTTAAATGACAGGTGCGTGTGCATGCGTGAGAGGAGAATGGAGGAGAAGGGACTGTGGTGTGACCATATCCCCTGGGGGGTGATTTCTCACTTTCTGTCTCTCTGTGTCTTTCTGGTGAGTGCATGTGCCCTGTAGCAAAAAATCTCTCAAAAAAAAAAAAATTCATGCTGGGAGAAGAGGGGGTTGTGGCATGGCTATCCCCTGCTGGGGGTGACTTCTCACTTTTCCTATCTCTGTCTCTCTCCAGGGAGGACTTGATCCCTATGGCAAAAACCGGGGGGAGGGGAAGATGTAGGGCCAACGCACGGTGTGGCAGTTAAAGTGGCTGGCCACATGGTCAACCTCCTGGTTCAATCTTGCAGAACTTGAGAAACATACCAGGTACCTGCACAAGGGTGCCCAAAATTGAGAAAGGAGGGAGAGGTGGAGAAGAAAGGATTGTAAAGTGACTATTTCCCACGGAGGGATGCTTTCTCATTTTCTCTGTCTCTCTGGCAAGTGTATGCACTCTCTGGCAATTAAAAAAATTAGCTTCCCTGAACTGTCTGCGGTTTCGTGCCTTTGTGCCAAGACTGGCATCTCACCTGCGGCTCAGGGTGCCCACCAGGCACATCCACCAGTCCGGGGGCCTCAGCAACCCGCAGAGAGCGGCGCAGGAAGACAAGGAAGTTATCACTGGTGGCTAGTGCTGCACCCACTCCCAGCGGGTCCGCAAGGTAGGCTTGCTTGTCACCCCAGTCGGCAATCCCCTGCTGTCGCAGCCAGGCAGCAGAGCTGGCCCAGTTGGTGCCCAGGAAATCTCTGTAGGAAGTAAGGCCCAGGCACAGGAGCAGCTGTGTCCCTGATGAGCCACTGGGCGCAAGGGTGGCTGACTGCAGGCGGAACTTGGGGGCGTCAAAGAGCCAGGGCTGGGCCTGTCGCCGGGTCTCCCAGATGGCAGTGATGGCCTTGTCTCCACCTGGCAGTGGACGACGGTCGTGGGCAGGGCTCAACTCGACCCATACTTGCTCCTGGGACAGTCCCCCCGGAGGGCATTGCAGCAGCAGGGACACCTGAGGGTCCATGGTCTAGACAGAGCAGCTCTAGAGGAGGGTACAGGCAAGCCTGTCACCCCTAGGGGACTTACGGCCACCCCCGCCCGGCAGCGGGTTCCCTCTACCACAGACCTCCTGAGGGTATCCCAAGCCCTTCTGCGCCCGTCTTCCCCATTCCTTGGCAATAAAGCGCCCTATCATCTCTGCAAGAGCTCCAAGCCCGGCTGAAGGCCTGCAATCCTTGCTGCCATAAATGCCCAGGATTCTGGGGCATCTCTACCGCCCAGAGATCTTGGGTCCATTCACCCCCAAATGCCCATGTCCCCAAACCCAAGGTTTCTGCCTCCAACCCGGGACACGCCGGGACCCTCCTTCCAGGGTCCGGAAGCTCCAGCCTGCACCAAGCCCTTGACACACACCGGCAACAGGGCTCGTAGGCTCCGCCCCTTTCCCCGAAGCGGAAATGCCAGCGCCCCTCTAACGTGTCTTCTCATTGGTCAGTCCCGGCGTTGTGGGCTCGCCCGGCTTGCGGTCAGTGTTGCTGCGGTGGGGGAACTTGTCTGTCTGTCCTGACCAGCGGACGCTTCCGCCTTGTTATCCTGCACGTCGGCCCCGCCTGCCGCGGCCTTGCAGAGCGTATCCGAGAGCCCGGAGTGCGGGGACCCAGAGTTCCTGGGCTCCGGGCGACCTTGGGCAAGTCTTACTTGCTGGGCCTTAGTTTCTCTAACTGCACCAGGGAGTTGGGGGGTAGAGAAAGAATTTAACCTGTCTAACCTGCTCCCAGCACTCACATCCTGAGATTTTGTGATTTTCTGTGCTGAGTGGGGACATGGGAGGATCCTTAAAGCCATCCCACCCGTCACTGCTCCCACAGGTCTTGGCCATGTACGGCTCTGGAGAAAGGCGGCTGGAAGCAGCAGGGCCCAGACGTAGAAAGGCTCACAGACCCCGGGAAGAGGTGCCCTCCTCCCCACCCCCATCCATGGCTGGAGGACAGGGGAGGGGGACTCAGAGCCCTGGCTCCCCGGGAAATGGCGGTGTGGTAGGGGTGAGTGGCCGATGGGTTATTCTATTCCTGGAGACCACAGGACTCCTTTCCCCCTGGTCTCCGTCCGCAGCCAGTCACTCAGGGTTCAGGGTGGGCAGCAGGCTGGGTCATCACAGAGACCCGGAGACACTGCTGGATTCTTGCAGGACCGTGATGTGCAGCTGTCCAAGGCACTGTCATATGCTCTGCGCCACGGGGCCTTGAAACTGGGGCTCTCCATGGGGGCCGGTGAGTGAGGGTCTTGGAGACTAGAGCAGGGAGCTCAGTCCAGGGAGCGATGTGAGCCAATCTGTGACTGACCCCACTGTCCCAGGAGGAAGGCACAGAGGGGGCATCCTCCCGGTGTTCAGAGCCCCATATTGAGTCCACACAGATTGGGAGAGGAGCCCCATCTTAGCTGGGCCTGGTGATGCCCTCTCTGGCCAAGCACCAGTTAAACACCTATCCCATCCCGAGGGAGGGCACAGAGGGGAGGTTTGGGCAGCTGCCAGGTGCAGCATCTGCTCTGGGCCGGGTTCTGTGCTAAGCACGTTGTCTTTGTGATCTCCACGAAGAGGCCACAAGGATGAGGCCCCTCCCCCTGGCCACCCCCCGCCCCACCCTCGTTATCTCTGGCCTAGGCTGGAACAAGGCTGGTCCCTAAGGTCCTGCCTGCCCACAGATGGCTTCGTGCCCCTGCGTGCCCTCCTGCAGCTGCCCCAGTTCCGCAGCTTCTCAGCTGAAGATGTGCAGCGCGTGGTGGACACCAGCGAGAAGCAGCGCTTTGCCCTATTGCCCGGGGACCCCAGTACCGGTCCGCTCATCCGAGCCAATCAAGGCCACTCCCTGCAGGTGGGGGCTTAGGGGACAAATGTGACAGCAAACGGCGGGCGGGACTCCTGTCGTGAAGGGGTCTCACTGCTGCCCATTCGACCACCCATTCCAGGTACCTGAATTGGAACTGGTGCCCCTGGAGACGCCACAGGCCCTCCCTCCCGTGCTAGTCCATGGTACTTTCTGGAAACACTGGCCATCCATCTTGCTCAAAGGCCTGTCCTGCCAGGGAAGGACACACATCCACCTGGCCCCAGGATTGCCAGGAGACCCTGGTGTCATCAGTGGTCAGTGCCCACCCCTCCACCAGTTACTTCCAGCCACTCTGCCCTCACCCAGTTCCTCCCAAGGTCCTCAGTACCCCTGTTTGAGGTCTTCCCACATCCTGCTTGGAGAAGCACCCTCCGTGCTTACAGCCCAGGACCCCAGTCCCCCACTCTGGTTGTCTCTCCAGGGATGCGGCTGAATTGTGAAGTGGCTGTGTTCATCAACGGACCCCTGGCCTTGGCAGGTGAGGCTAGACATAGGAGGTACTGCCCTAAGCCTCGGGGAGGGCATGAGACACGTCTCTGGCTCTGTTACAGATGGAATCCCCTTCTTCCGCTCTGCCAATGGGGTGATCCTGACTCCAGGGAATGCAGATGGCTTCCTGCTTCCCAAGTACTTCAAGGAGGCCTTGCAGCTGCGTCCTACCCGTGAGAACCATGCCTCTGACTTTTGTGCCCGAAGCCTGTGACCTTCTACCCTCATCTTGTGACCAGCCCCCAGCCGACTCAGGACTCCCTTTTTCTAACTAACTCTGTCTGTTCCAGGAAGTCCCCTCTCCTTGGCTGGTGATAAAGAGACAGAGTGTCAGAGTGGCCCCAAGCACAGCCCCAGACCAAGAAGGATGACCCAACAATAAAATATTTATTTATAAGAGAAATTTAAAAAAGTGACAAGAAAGAAACTCCAGTTCTAAACCATGATTCATCATCCCGTAGCTACCTCTGGTCCTTCTGTGTGCCCAGAGACCGTAGCTAGGTTGGGGATGCCAGCCTCAGCCGTGCAGACAAGGTGATCACTGCCCAGCTTAGGGCCTACCGTCCACAACTTGGGTGATGGCAGAGTCTGCTCCCTGGTCTGCATAAAGCCCCCAGTGACAGCGTGTGAATGTGTCCAGCTTGTGCGTGTCTGGAGAGGGTGTGGGACACCGAGTCCCAGTGGGTGTAGGCGTGGGAGTGGCCATGGCTGGTGGTAAGCAGGGCAGGGCTGTCAGCCCTTAGAAGGCTTCGTGGCCTCCTGTTAGCTGCAGGAAGAGGTCCTCATCCAACTCCTCCCCGCGGGCCCGCTCTCGAGTCGACAGGAAAATGTAGCCTCCGATGTACTCGTGCACAATGCGACAGCTGGCGGACACACAGCTGAAGGCCACGTTGATGTGCTCATCAAACTCGATGGCCACCTGCAGAGCGGGCGCCAGAGGCTAGCGGGGGGAGGGTGGCCGCGCAGCCCCCGCCCCGCCCTTGTCAGACCTGCCTAGCCTCTGTCCCCGTCCCCACCCTCGCTCGGAACCGACCTGCCGGATGTCCCAGTTGACGTTCCACTGGCGCATGTTGCTGAAGCGCCAGGTCTTGACCACATCACCCACCGTCAGGTCAATGCGGATCAGTCGGTTGTTGGCGATACCCAGGATCTCGTCTTTCCTGCTGCCCTTGAACCTGGTGGCCTTTTTTTTGAAGGGACTGTGGCCTCCATGGCCCTGGAGCCCGTCCAAGATAGCATAGCACTGTGCGCACGCGCCAGCATGATGGGCAGACAGCGGGGCGGTGTCCTGGCCCCGCAGCTCCCTAGCTGTGCAACCTGAGCAACGCGTCTAGGCCTCAAGGTGCTCTTCTGGAGAGTGCGGGGGCTGATGGATATGATCATTCCACCAGCAGTTGTTATTTATTCAGAATTATTTTATTTAACTTTATGTACTATTATTATTTTCCAGTTTGATCAGAGAGAGAGAGAGGGAAAGTGAGAAAGCAAGCCACCAGTCTGGGACTTGAACCACGATCGGCCATGTGAGAGTCCAGTGCCTTTAACCAGCACACTACCTGCCAGCCCCTCCAACAGCATTGAGCATGAGGCAGATAGCCTGTGCCCTTATACTGTTTATTTATCTAGTTTAGTTTTTGCAGTAGAGAATGTGCACTTGATAGAGGGAGGGAAAGCCAGAAATCACCCCAGAGGGGAGTGGCCACAGTACAATCCCTTCTCCTCCATTCTCCTCCTGGGATTTTGGGCACACATGCACACACACATGCCCAGTGTGAGTTTCAAGCCTTCAGGTCTAGGACTCGAACCGTGGTCGGCCATGTGGGAGTCCAGCAACACAACCATTACACCACTTGCTGGTCCCACGTTTTGGGTTTTGTGTCGTCATCACCATCCACTACCTCGTTCCTTTTTTTTTTTTTTCCCAAATAATTATTTAATTTTATTGGCTATTACTACTCATTTTTAAAATTTGACCAGACACAAAGAGCGAGAAAGGGAAAGTAAGAAAGCAAGCCACCAGGTCTGGGACTCGAACCACAGTCTGCCGCCCTCTGCCTCATTCCTATCTTTGCAGGCTCCCTGCAACACCATCCGCTGTCAGCCCTGCCCTACAGATGGGCTAACCCAGAGAGGAGATGGTCATGGTCAGAGCTGGGGCAGGAACGCGGTCTCCTGCTTCCCTCGCCAGAGCTCTGTCTCTTGTGTTTGCTCTGGGGGTATCACATGGGGAAGGGAGGCTGCAGGGGGCCTTCCCGGGGCTCCCTTTTGGGGTGTGGACACAAAGCAGCCAGGTAGCAGGTCCCACCAGAGAGGGTGCTGGGCAGGGGCCGTACCTGACCATAAAGTAGGAGATGCCGAAGTCGGGCAAGGACTGCCAGGCCTGGATGAAGCGCAGCTGGGCCTCGGTCAGCGACAGCTGGGCCACGTTCTGGTGGGCTTCAAGGATCCGTGGGGTGAGCTGCAGGGTCGTACTGTGAGGGGATGCCGGGGCCTCTTCCCCTCCCACAAAGGCCCTGAGGCTCCCCGCCTGCCCTGTCATTGAGACAGGATGCTGGGCCTGGGAAGGGGCACTGTCCCAGAGTGGCTGGCCACGGCAGGGCG